TAAAAGCAATAGCTTTAACTAATAAAGAAGCAATCAACAATCGACCAAGTAGAACCAACAATCGAATATCAAAAACCCACCTGAGAGCGATGCGAGGCGATCATGGCAGAATCGTCGGCGTCTTCCTCAACAAACCCGTAATCGGGTTCACCATCATCACTATCGTTGTATTCATCATCGGTTCCGCCACTGTAGAAATCATCATCCCCTGACTCCATATCGTGCGCATCGAGCATGTCTTCTTCGGAATCCATGATTCAGCGAAAACCCAAATGACTAAATTTAAAACCTCCCAACAATAATAAAAAAAGCGAGATTTAGAGGAATTAGGTGAAACCCCTTTTTCAGCAAATTAGGGTTTGTGGGGGAGAGAAGAAAGGGAATCTGAAAGAGCTTAAAGGGGAAAGCAAATGGGAGAGGTTTGATGAGAATTGCTTTGGGAGGAAATGAAAGTTTCCAAATTTATGCGGTGGGGGAATCTATAAGAGAGAGTGGATCGATTGGGTTTGCGATTAGTGGAATGGAGTGTAGACTTATATCACTACAAGACATCATAAAGCCTCTCTCTACCAACAAAGTCTTACATGTCTCTATGTCTCTCAACAAACGGAAATGAGTTTGGAGAAAAATGTAGATTTTCTTTCTTTTTTACCTCTGGGATAAAAATAATCAGATTTTCATTCATAATTAAGTATATTCATACCATATTAGCAGAAAACTTGTTTAGTTGTGTTGTCGTCGTCTGTATACAATTCAGAACAAATTACTTTGATTTTTTTTTTACTGACGTTACTTGATTAAAACTGGGATGGTGACATAATGTCAACATGAGTACGAATAAAACAAACAATTAAATAGACGATTTTCTCATTTTGTTATATAAATAGTGATTTTCAAAATATTACTTTTTGTGTTTTTTGTATTAAAGTGTTTTTTTTATATTATAATCACATTATTTGGAAGAGAGTTAAAACAGTAAACAGTCCTTCAAAGTCTGAAAACCAAAGCCGATGTTCGTCTTCTTCCTTGGCTCTGCGCCGCGTTCACTCTCATCCTCTCGATGAATTCCTCTCAAGCTTGCCTCTTCCATTCTCCTCTTAGACCTTCCTCGCTTTTGCATCCCTCCTCTAAAAGTAAGTTTCTTTCCCTCAAAATTTATAGCTACAGAGATTGAGCAAACGCAACAAAATTGTTTACCTAGGCTAGTCGGTACACAATCGTTAAACTTTCGCTGCTTCGAGCTGATGGAAACCCTAATTTCGAGGGGCACTGACACTAACCTTAATGGGTTTCTCACAATTGCTATAAAGTTCAAAACTTTTTCAACTGATACCATCTCTGCGATTAGTTCTCTTAATCCTGCAATTTGCTCAAATTATCGAACTTTTTACACAATTTTGAAATTTTAAGGTACCTTATGTGTTTGCAGGAGACCCATTTCTGTGTTATCAACCTTTTCGATCCAGAAAATGCCTTTCCATGAGTTTAAATTCGTCAAGAGCGAGAGAAAGCCATTTTATACAGACGAACAGAAGACATCTCCTTATAAAACAAAGGAAGAGATTTTCGATAAACTACTCCGATAAGCTCAGAAATGAATCTATGAGCAGTGAGGAGATGCATAAAGATGTTTTGGATGTGGAGATTGTGCCTCCAGAGTCACAGGACATTCACATTCCTCAGAAGTCTGCTGTCTCCAAGCCACTACAAGATAATAGGCCAAAGTCGTTTAGAAATAGGTTTCTTGATTTTGTTCGCATAAGCTCAGTAATCAATAGCGCAGCAGAGAGATTCTTTAAGAGTGAGATAAGGAGGAGGTTGTTTGTAACGGCTGTGTTGCTTGTACTTAGCCGTGTTGGATATTTCATCCCTTTGCCTGGATTCGACAGAAGATTAATACCCAAAGATTACCTTAGCTTTGTCTCAGGCTCTGTTGGTGAGTATTCTCATGCCATTTGAGTCTTATAATATCTTGACACATATGAGTTTGTAGTTGACATGTTTGTGTTTTTTGGTAGAGGAACTGGGTGAGTTTGGAGCAGAGATTAAGCTTTCGCTCTTCCAGCTTGGGCTCAGTCCACAGATTATAGCATCCATTATTATGCAGGTTGAAATCTCCCCTTGATTTGATGTGTTTGCCTAATTTTGTGGCTTTGTTATGTGTTAAGATTGTGATTGATGATATCAAGTGAACATGAAAATGTTTTGTGCCAGGTGCTTTGTCACGTTCTTCCATCGTTGGTGAAGCTGCGAAAGGAAGGCTTAGATGGTCACGAGAAGATCAAGAGTTATATGTGTGTTTAGTTTCTTTTTCCTCTCAAGCCGTGAGATGAATTCTTAACATGCAAATATGCAATCAATTTGTTTGGAGCCCTTGTGACTTTTTGTGCTTCATTAAACAAAGTTACTAAACTGTTTTCTTTTCCATGTAAATTTTTAGATGGTGGCTATCGTTTCTCTTTGCTATAGTGGAAGCTATAGTGGTGGCTTGCACTTCCCTCCAGTATTCAGTTTTTGCAGCCACTTCCCAGTAAGTTGATTAGGAAAAAGTATTGCTTTTCAATTATATCATCCATTTCTCCACAGTTGTTTCCTAAGTAAGAATTGATGCTTATATAGGGTCAAGCATGTAATGGTGACAGCGTCTCTGCTTGTCTGTGGTGCAATGTCGATGAGTTGGCTGTGTGATACGATATCAGAATCTGGATTTGGTATATTTGACTCTCTTCTCTCTCTATGCAATAGTCTAGACTTGGCTTGATCCTGACCATTTTGGTAGCTTATTGTGATGCTGATATGGAGTAATAGTTGTAGCTTGCTCATAACCTATTTCTGTATTTTTTACAGGTCATGGATCATCTCTAATTATATGTGTGGGAATATTGACGGGTTACACAGAGACCTTACACAAGATGCTTAATCAAATCTCAGGTACCTTTGCCTTTGGATTTTCTTACACTATATTTCACAAACTTATGGTTAGTCTTTAGTTTAGAACTGCTTGTCATCCCCATTTCCTGGAACCAACTATCATTAGCCTCTCTACTCAACTGATTTATAAAAAAGCAAGAGCCATTCTTCTTTTTCTTTTGCAGGAAGTTTCTCGAATTGGTTGCCTTACTTGTTAGGCGTGCTGGGCATTTTTACGGTAGTAACAATGTTCGCTGTTGTTGTTACTGAGGGCTGCAGGAAGATAAAACTACAATACTATGGTTTTAAACTTGCTTCTGCTTCGAGGTAATATATATATAGCTCATCATCCTGGTTAATATACACTTGGATGCAACGTACGTGTGGTACTTACTCATATCTGTTTTTTTTTTGTGCTATGTTTTGCCATTTGGGCAGAGAAGGTTCTCCGATAACCGAAGTTGAACCGTACATTCCCTTTAACATAAACCCAGCAGGAATGCAGCCTGTTCTCACAACCACTTATCTCTTGGCATTCCCCAGCATTCTTGCAAGGTAAATCCTCAGAAGAACACATGAGTCCTTAAACACCATTCTTGTTTCGTCCTTCTTTGTACAATTATTTACCATCTTAAGGCTGTTTGATAAGGTAAATTTGTTGTTTCTAGTGTTCTAGGTTCACCTTTCTTGTTGCACGTGAAGGAGATCTTAAACCCTGAAAGCACGATTGGGGCACCGCCTTGGGTTTATTACTCAGTTTATGCGTTTTTCGTCTTTCTCTTCAACATCTTTGACATTGTGAGTATTTGTTACCCTTTTTTACTCAAATCTGAATCTCAATCTTCCATGAACGTTAAACATTTTCACATCACTTATGCAGGCGAACTTGCCAAAGGAAATAGCCGATTATTTGAACAAAATGGGAGCGAGAATACCCAACATCAAGCCTGGGAAAGCCACAATTGAGTACCTAACGAAGATACAAGCATCAACTAGATTTTGGGGTAAGTTAGTTCTTAGACTTAATCTCATATATAATTAATGTATAATCTCTAACAACCTGTTTTGTTGGTTTGATACAGGAGGTCTTCTGTTGAGTTTCTTGGCAACATCTTCTAGTGTACTTGACCACTATCTACGCAGCATCAACCAAGGATTTTCTATCGGATTTACATCGGTTTTAATCATCGTAAGTGTTGTTTCCACGTTTCAGTATCATTCAGTTTGACAATACTGAAATCATTTTTACTGATATATTTATTGGTTGGGTATATAGGTTGGTTCCATTATTGAACTCAGAAGATCTTACCATGCCTACAATGTAATGCCGAGTTTAAGCAAAGCGTTGAAGAGGTATGGTGTATAACGAGAGATTCAAGAAACAGAAGAGCTTATCATGTACTTATATGTTTGTGGTTTAGAGCTTCTTTAGCATTTTTTGTTTAGATTAGGGGAATTAGATGATTTGTATTAAGAACCAAAACACATTACCATCATTATCTTACGAAGGTGATTCAGAGACAATCTACCAAAGCATTTGACAGAATTTATAAATAATAACAATATTTTGTCAACAGCCTTAGTTGTGGCATATTTCGCTACAACATATGGCATCAGTAGGACTCCTACACTTGATTAACAAACAAAAGCACATAAATATTCGCATTACGAAACAAGATAACATTGTTGTTTCATTTTGCAAATGGTGACGACTTAAGCCGCAAGCCACCCACGGATCTGAGTATCGATAAAGTTGCCCATGTAATTGTAGGTAGCTTCCGATGGATGAATAGAATCAAAGAATATAAACTCAGAGTGATTCGGACAGGTTGGAGAAAGAGCACTACACATGAAGCTCGTCTCCAAGTACCCTGTTCCACAACATCCTCTCTTCGTCTCTTTAAACCCTGTTTTTGATTCCACATGAACGATCATACAATCAGTAGTGTTCACTTATATATAACAGATAGGATAGCTTGTGGAACAAGAAAGAGATTGTAGCTCTACCGTATTTGCTAGGGTTTTGCATCATGTCCAACATAGGATCATAGATATTGGAGTAAAGGAATTTGCTTCCTGTAAGAGATGCTTCAATCTGAGTTCTGAAGTTTCTGATTGTATAAAACAGAGTCTCTGTTCTCTTGTTCCAGACAAGACCTAAACACATTGCGGAATTTAGCAGTCAGCTGGATCGGTAAACAACCCATCGGCGGTAAACCTCCGACCATAATATTCCGGCAACCTAAACTGTAAAGCTCCTGCAAACACTCACAAAAGAAAACATTAACAAAGACTGGTCCAAAACCCTGGAATCTAAGACATAAATACATATCAAAATGAGTATCGAATTTTGATAATGTTTTAAAACATTACCCTGACGAAGTTGTCAAGCCTCTTAAGTATGAAGTCTTGGTAATCAGAAATGCGAGCAAACTCGAGACGCCTTGAAGGAATAGTGTAATAGTTCAAGATGAAATCGTTAGGTCCTGCACTAACAACCACCAAGGCGTTGTTGATAATCTCCATAGCTTTCTTGTCTCCTACGATACTCTTAAGACGAGCAATGTATCTCTTGAACATCTTAGGTTGTTGTGAGACAGGGATAGCCTGAGTCGAGAGACTGGTTTGGTCATCGTAACCGGCACCGGCTGATGCAAAACAGACTCCGGTTACAATCTCTTGGTCGGAGAGGTTTGGTTGTAAGAAAGGAGGAACAAACTGTTTGATGTTGTATTTGGATGCGAGTATGTCCGGGATTAGCTTTCCGTTTGAGAATCTACCGTTAGCTTTGTGGTCTGGGAGATCAATGCCGTAAGGAAGATGTGTTGCTCTGAAGATTGTGTTTAAAGGGTAATTGTTGTTGCCTGTGTCGACGGTTGAGTCGCCGAAGATTAGAATCGCCGGGAATAGCGGTTTCGTGGTGGAGTTTGCGGCTGCGTTGCAGGACGCGAGTAGTGTTGTTGCGATGAAGAGAGTGAAGGCTATGGTTTTAGAAGTCATCGTCATTGTGTTTTGGTTTTTGTTGTCTTCTGTGTGTTGTTTTGATTAATTTGAAGTGTGTATGGAGGTGATGAATTTATAAGGAACCTCAAGGTGATATTTGTTTTGTTGGGCCTAGCTGGAATTCTGATATTTGTGTGAGTTTGTTTTTTTCTTTCCCTTAGGAATGAAAACAAATGGATAAAAGTCAGGACTCAGGAGCAGTTGCTTTGAATTTGACAGTCTAAATAAAGATATTAGTGAGTTTCAAGTTTCAACTGAAAAAACAATATGGTCAAAGAAAATACATTTTTTTAATTCGGTGGTAGAGCGAAGATGAAAAAAAATACTTTTAGTTTAGTGGTTTAACAAATTAATAAGGTGATAAACAAAACCTCATAAATCAAACAAGATATAGGTGTGAATTTAAAACTGACCAATATTTGTAATCTAGTGAATTTTACTAGTGATGTTGATGTATCACCACCTTCGAGTTCACAACCGGTATAATGCATCTTGTGGAAAAAATATTGATTCTCAACTCTAACTCTGAACAGTTAAACAAACAAAATAACTAAAAAGTCTGTACTTAATATAAAGTTTCATTTGGACTAACCACTTAGTTCATAGTGTTCTTTAGATAAATCCAATATTGATGCTTAGAAAAAGAACAAATAATAGCTTGGGATGCGAAGCTTATCTTATTGGGAATGCGCCTGGTACAAAGTACAAAACCTTTGCTCCAGAATCAGGTTGCTCCTGGTTCCACACCTAATTCGAACTGATGGGCCGTATTTACAGTTAATGGGCCTATATTATCATAATTGGTCTGAGTGAATCAGCAAATGAGGCCAAGCAAGAGCCTCGGAAACCCTAGCCCCAAACTATTTATTTGCTAATTACCGCTCACCGTCCCGACTCTAGGGTTTCAGGCTTTCAGCGATCTACAACATGGCGACGCAAATCAGCAAAAAGAGAAAGGTGAATTTCGCCGTAACCTTTTCTTTTCAATGGATTTCACTCATTTGCATCGAATTTGAGCTGATTACTGTAACTGTGATCTGTGAAATGTAGTTTGTAGCGGACGGAGTGTTCTACGCTGAATTGAACGAGGTTCTCACTAGGGAGCTCGCGGAGGATGGTTACTCTGGTGTTGAGGTTAGGGTTACTCCAATGAGGACTGAGATTATCATCAGAGCTACACGTACCCAAAACGTTCTCGGTATGTTGTTGAATCTATTATCTTCATTTCATTTGGGAATTGAAAGTGAGAGACTGTGATTAGATATCTTATAACAATGCTCATTTGGTACAAATTGTTGGATAATAATAGGGGAGAAAGGGAGGAGAATCAGGGAGTTAACATCACTTGTGCAGAAGAGATTCAGATTCCCACAGGACAGTGTTGAGCTTTACGCTGAGAAGGTGGCCACCAGAGGTCTCTGTGCCATCGCTCAGGCTGAGTCTCTCCGTTACAAGCTTCTCGGTGGGCTTGCCGTTCGTAGGTATTATGTGCTTTATTATTTGCTTGATCTGCTAATAGCTGCATTGACCATTGACACATGGATTTGTTAGTTTGTTAAGAATCTGTCTTCCAATGTTTCACTTTTTATTTGGTGGCAAACATAAAGATATGCATTTACATGAAATCTTACGGAGTGTATATCTTTCATGGCCACTCTGTAATATAGTTGCATTGGCAATCCGTTTATCTGCCGTACCCTCTGATTAGTGCATAAGGTTTGAGCTAGGTGCTTGCTGTCTACTTAGTATATTGACCATTGTTATATATCTGGCTTTGATGCTCTCATTTCCTCTTTGGAAGCATGATGTTAATATTGCCAAGATGCTGTTGTATAGGGCTTGCTATGGTGTCTTAAGATTCGTCATGGAGAGTGGAGCCAAGGGATGTGAGGTCATTGTGAGCGGAAAGCTCCGTGCAGCACGTGCCAAGTCAATGAAATTCAAGGATGGTTACATGGTTTCCTCTGGTCAACCCACCAAGGATTACATCGACGCTGCTGTCAGACATGTTTTGCTTAGACAGGTTTGTTTCTTCTTCTTCCTCCTATTCCTTTGTCCTTACCAAGTAAACCGGAAATGTCTAACTTTTCTTGATTCTGGTTAAAACAGGGTGTGCTCGGAATCAAGGTGAAGATCATGCTCGACTGGGATCCCACGGGCAAGAACGGTCCAAAGACTCCATTGCCAGATGTTGTCATCATCCATTCTCCCAAGGAAGAAGAAGTCTACTCTGCACCTCCTCAGGTTGCTGCTCCCGTTGCTCTCATGCCGGAAGCTCCTCTCACAAACGTAGATTACCCTGAGATGATCCCCGTCGCTTAAACCAACCTTTTCACTTCTAGTACTACTACTACTACTGTTTATGTGATTTTGTTATTTTTTGTTTCAACCTTTCTGCATCTTTTGACAGTTTATAGATTCTCGTATCTTCGTATCAAACACATTTTCCTCCAATCTCATCTCTCAAGTTTAAAAGTTATCTCGACTCTATATGTCCAGTTGGCAAATACGTGGTAAGTTTTGGTTATTCAAACTCTCAAAACTTGAAATAATCTGATTTTTATACAACCTATTTTACTTCACTTTTTTTAATTGGATACCAAAGCCAATATCACTGTTTCAGAATTAATTAGTAACGCACTATTGTTTCTTATTCACACATTTTCATTTAATCGAATCATTGAGTGGCCCACAAGATAGCATATTAGAAGATGCCATTTGCCACCCAATAATTGATGCTTCTTTTCTACGGAATCAATCAAATCTTCTCTCTTTATAATTTCTCCTCACCATTCTATTCCGATAAGAAACAAACACTCAGAAGAAAATTGCAGATAGAGAGAGATGGGTCGTATTCACTTGGAATCATCAGATTCATGGACAAGCTCTGTCCAAGACAAGCCAAATGCTGATACATCGAACACAGTCTTACTGGAGCAAGGAGGAATCCAGGAAGCTTGGGCCGAAATTGAGAATCTCGGCGGTGGAGGAAGACTTTTCGCCGGCGAGACTAGGAAGAAGCTGGAGAAGAAGAAGAGCCAAGTGTTGCTGGAAGGTTACGTGGAGGCTGCTACGGCTCTAGATGATCTGACGAGCGCTAAGAGCTTGACGGATGATGATCTTGAGGAGCTTAAAGGTTGTTTAGATCTAGGGTTTGGATTCAGCTACGATGAGATCCCTGAGCTCTGCAACACTTTGCCTGCTTTAGAGCTTTGTTACTCCATGAGCCAGAAGTTCTTAGATGATAATAAGCAGAACCACCTCAAGTCCCCGGAGGTTTCTTCGGTGGAAGAAGATTCCTCGTCGCCACAACCGACCACGACCACGACCAGTCCAATCGCAAATTGGAAGATCTCTAGCCCTGGTAAACAATCTAAGATAGATTCTGTTTTGATTTAGTTTGGAGATTCGGCTTACTAATTATAGAACAATTTCTTGATTTGAATGTCTGATTTTTCTAATTTTGATGGTTTGCCTTTTGATTCAGGTGATAATCCAGATGATGTAAAAGCTAGACTCAAATACTGGGCACAAGCTGTTGCTTGCACTGTCCGATTATGCAGCTGAACAAGAATGGTTCTTGTCTGAACAAAAACTGGTTGAGCCAGAAAAATCTACTGAAGACCTTTCTTTGCAAGAATGAAGTCTCTGCCAATGGCATTGTTAGCTGAGAATAGACCTGCAATGTGTCCAAGGACGATAATCTGGTTCGGCTTTACTTTAATTATCTGTATGTGTATGTGTATGAATAGTAGCATTCTTACTGTTATGAATTGGTAATAAATGTGTCAGTGAATAAAAACTTTTAAATTATTTTGTCTACTAATCCCCTGACTGGTCTCTGCGTTTGGTGTTTAAGCGAAATGTGATTACTTTAACATCTGACATATGAATAATAGGGTTCTTGTCGTCGTTTGCAGTTTTGAGATTTAAGAGAGACAAATCACCAATTCGTTAAAGACCTCTGCTTTTAGCTGAGGTAACTGATCTAACTGTTGAGTCCTTTTTCTTTGTATGCTTTTCATGAGTCATGATCTTGATCCTGTCTTTTTTTTGTGTATTTATGGCTTTAGATGATAGTAAAGCTCGTGACTTTGCTTCATTCACAAGATGTCAAGAAAAGAAGCACAAGCCGTTACTTGTGATTCTTTTTCTTCCTGTTTGTAGGAAAGAATCAGGAACTTGTGGTCATAAGTTGTGAACACGCTTCAACGTGTCGTGTACGATAGGGAAACATGTAGACTTGGATCCTTTCACGTGTTCTGTTACGTATACAACTGTCTAAATCTAATAATGCCCAAAAGGAATTTTATTACTGAATATAACTTTTTAAGTTTGAGTTTTTTAAAAGAGTCACATGATAATATGATCCATGAAACGACATCTCTCAACAACGAAAAGACAAACACTTATTTAAAACACAAGAGTACAAGACTGAAATGTTGTTGATTCTTAAGATCATTTGGACCATACGGAAACCGAAATAAGTTGAAGAATAAATATATGGACCGTTCTTGAAACTTCTGATGATGATCAAGAAGAAGCCTGTCCCAACAGTGTTTGAATGTCATTCTGCACAAATTCAAAAAACCGGTTATAAGATGGTGTATATGCGTGAGATCACATAAAAGTGTGAGGATATTCCGGTTTAGGAGAGAACCGGGATGGTATGTACCTCGAATTGAAGAGGAGAGGTTCTGGGAGAATATCTCTGGAAGACTTTGCCGTCAGGAGAAACCAAGAACTTTGTGAAGTTCCATTTGATGGCGTCAATGAGCAAACCTCCTTTCTCTGCTTTCAAGTATTTGTATAACGGCGCCGTGTTCTTTCCGTTCACATCGACCTGCATTGACGTCAACTTTTCCGTCAAGCATTTGTATACTCTAGTACTCTACTCTTTTTTCTCACTATTAGACATATCACATAATCATTTCTTCATTACATGTGATAAATAGGTACAAGTAACACCTAACAACAATAATTATGTTTATTTAGAGATTTATTTAAAAAGTTAGTAAACAATGATTTTTGGTTAAAATTTGAAATATGCATTCAGAGAAAAAAAGCTTGTAAACGTTTTTTTAGCACCATATAAATTTATGCATAATCCTGTAGTCAAATTTATGCTTGGAATAAGTGATTCAAGGGTCCGAATTGTAATAAAAGAAACACTAACCCTAGATTTAGGGGTGTAGATATTTAGGCTATGACTTCTAAACAAATTATATGGTCAAAAACAAACCTACAACCTCAGAAATCTTAAAATATTTGTTTTGATAACAAAGCAATGGAAAAACAACAAACAAGACTATTCAAATTGTCGACAAAAAAAGACTATTCAAAATTTTTTCGCTAAAAAGTGTTAGAAGGATCGTAGCTTTGGTAATTTTGATTAGAGTGTGATTAATAAAGGTTGCACATGTTTAAACTTGATAAAGAACATAGCTAATTACCTTGTCAAAGATGGGGAATTCAGCTTTGAACCTGGTGCAGACAGTTTGTTGAATCTCTTCATTGTTTCCTGGTTCTTGTCCCAAGAATTGGTTGCACGGGAATGCCAATATCTCCAACCCTATTAAAATTTGTACGATTTTCATTTAATTATATTCACAAGTGAAACCCTGCTCAACTTAAATGAAAAACCAGATTGAGACTTGTGAGAGTATATGTAAATCACGGACCTTGTGCTTTGTATTTATCGTACAGAGCATTCAGTTCCTTGTAGTTCGCATCCGTCAGACCACTGTGGTAATAAAAAATTAGTTTAGTTTCATTTTGGATTGGTTTGAAAAAAGATTCTGTTATTTTTATTGAATTTAAGCAGGTTTTCAATAGCAAAATGAAGACAAATTTAGAGCATTCAGTTATGTCAAAAAAAAAAAAAATAAACAACCATACACACAAAAATGGAAAAAACAAAAATCAAGAACAAAAGTAAAAATTGCAAAAATATCAACTAAGATTTTTGTGTGTGATTATTGTTTAGTTTGGTGGACTACAAATACATGAATGTTTAACATCTTGTGAAATCAGACAAACCATAATGACCTTTCACAGAATAATTTGTTAAAATAGTGAAAAGACCCAAAGGGTTCTTACCATTTGGAGGCAACGTTGACAATCAGGAGAGTTTTGCCTTTGAATTGGCTCAAACTCACATCGTTACCTCCGATATCCTGCGATGTTCATGAACAAATATAAACACATAAATCTTTTGATAACAAACCTCCAATTTCTTCATCTATCTTCTCATGTATCTAATATTTATACGTCTCAAGAAAAAAGAGAGATCCAACATTGAGAATTCCGCTATAGTATTTGGATCAAAATAATCTAATCATTTTTAGTCGTTGTTGTTTACAGGTATCAAGAATCTAAGACTAAGGACATAAACACAATCACAGAAACGCATAAAGAGAATAAAAACCTTGACGGTGAAGTCGTAGATAGACTTTGGAGATTCATCCGCCATTTTGCAGTGTCGTTGGTCTCTCTACCTCTCTCTCTTTCTGAGTTTTTGATTTTTTGAAGAAAGAAAAGAAATATTGATTTTATTAAAATAAAATTTGTCTTTATATATGGTAGAGAAATCAGAAATGTACAGATAGGTTCACCGATGCCTCTAAATAAGGAATCTCTTGTGACGAATGGTGGGGTATGCATCCACGACTTCATATTTATTGTTCGCCGATCTTAATTCTATACATTGAATAAAAAGATATGAAATGTATTGTTTTAAAATTAAGAAATGTCAAATATGGTTACTTATCTCAAACAAAAAGGAAATAAATCATTCTAGTTTTTGGGTTTTGCATTTAATTATAAATATTTATGGGAACTTTTATTTTTTTCATATAAACGGAAATAAATTTCATAAAAAAGTACTTCAACTTTTACAAAACGAGGGTAGTAAACTTGTGTCTAATCTAAATAATTGTTTCACCAACGGTGGCTTAATGGAAAAATCTGTATTAGGATTCGATCTCAAATATGGATTGAGCAATTATGGCATCCAAATTTTGACCTGATTTTCTCTATATAGCTTATTCAAAGTGCAAGGTACATTGAATGTTAAGAATATGTAGACTTTTGAATTTTGTAGCTAGTAGATCATTTGTCACGTTACAATATATAGTATGGTCACCGCAATATATTTTGAAATTTCCCCTAAATATGTTATATTTTTACTAGACTGAATCAATTGCCTGTTAAATTTAAAATAATATATTTGTTGTATTCCTCATCACTTGTAAAAATGGAATGGGAACAAAAACATTTCTCAAAATCTAACCACCAGTCTTGGAAATTTGAGTCTGGAAGACCGACTTATCAAAGTAGTTGGACCGACTGACTTAATAGACATTTGGAGTACAACAGATACAACATGATAGAAACTATTAATAACAATATTGTCTTTACTAACTATAAATGGAGGGGATAAAGTTACTTTTACGTAACGCAACAGGAGTTAGTAGTTGGCCGATGCACAGGTATGGTGTGAATTTAATGTCTTCCACACCTCCCTATCTCATCTTCTACAAAAATACATATACGAATGTATTTATAAAATATATTGTTATATAGAAGCAATTTTCCACCTAGAAAAACATTTAAAAACAATATAGTTCTCTAAAGTCTTAAAAATGGTAACAGTTCAAAATGTAATTAGATTGCATAACAATAACTAGTCTTACAGTGGTTAAAAAAACACTAGTCTTACAGATGAAGTCGAAAGCAGTTTTTTTTTATGAGTAGCTAAGAATGTGTGGATGTTCTTCCCAGAAAGAGTGTTCGATGATGTTGCAATGATCTACGACCACTTCTCCTTCCAGTTTCTTCCCTGAAGCTACTCCACTCTCAATTTCAAGAGCTTCCTGCAAAGTAAATATTCAGACAGCTCTTTAACAGATAAACTTACAAGGCTCCGCAAGAAGATAGATGTTCCACACCATTCAATATCTTTTATGAGTATGATAAGAAACGAGTAACAAATAGCTGTGGGTATTTACAACATTTAGGTTTGGGATTATGAGTTAGGCATTGTACGAGTTTATTATCAAAGGTTTTGAGTTACTTAATTGGTATCAGATGATAAGAAACAAAACAAGATTGGCTTTGACTTTATCTTCCTAAACACAGGTTTAAGAGTTTGATGATAAAGAAAATACTAACCTTTAAGCGGAAAACTGAGGAACCCATTCGAAAGATTAGAGGTAATGAATTGTACTCAACTCCAAATTGACGGCTAAGCAGCTCGTTTTTTTCTCGTGTTTGAGTTCCCTGGAAAAGTATAAGAAGAACCATTTTAAAGTCATGAACAAAGGAGCAAGCACTGATGGATTTTTCTATATCATCATAACAAAGTACCTTTAAGTAATCCTGAGATTGAGTTTTGGTTTTTCCAGACTTAACAAGCATCCAGAAACATGTATTATACTGATTATTGATGTGGCCTGCCAAATGAAAATGAAACATGAGAATACTTTCATTTCACAAAGATATGAGATGATTCCATATCATTTTTTTTCTTCAGAGATTACTACACTCACAGTCAACTTGTCTCCAGGCTAGATAATCCAAGAGAATCTTGTAAGTTGGATAGCATACTGCTCGTCCATCGAACGATGGAGGGTACTTCAATTCTTTGTGAGGGAAGAAATCTCCCCATTTCATTACATATGTGGATGTAAAGAAGGATGTGATTGCAGATATTATCTTACTGCAATACAATATCAGAAACTAAGAACAACAAACTCAGGGAGATGAAGCCAAAAGAGTAAGGGAAAAGAGAAATTTCGTTTAACCTGGATTGTCTTTTATAGAGCTCGGATTCTTTCTTCAAAACAAAGCTGGCATCGATGATGAGCTTAAGTTAAAGCTCAAGATAATGTAAAAAGCTGATATAAAAAAGGTTGAGAGAGGGAGTACCTGTACTCATCACTGACACCATAGGCAAAGTGAATATCCTCAAACTCCTTGAGAACAGCCACTGCACATGAATTCATAAGTTTCAGAGCTCGCTCATCATTTGGCTTTTCAAATTCATGAACGTCAGAAAATCTACCAAAAGCCAAGCAAGCTCAATGAGTTACACTCGCAACATAGAATAATTAGTTGATTAGTAATAAAATTGTGTCTTCCTCCTGAAAATGCATTTTAAGATTCAAGAAATAGAGAACACGCCCTAGACTAAAGCAACCAAATCTAACAGGTCAGCGAAAGAAGTATACCATTTCATGATGTAGCTGAATCCTAGGGAGTCTAAGGCTTCCATGCAGTAAAATATCTCAACAGGATTACATGAATTTAAGACAACACAGTAAAGAGTATTCTTACCTGTGAAAATGACAGCCATCAATCCTGACCACAACCCAAGTCAAAGGTAACAGTTTGTTCTCAAACTGAAACGACCTAGTATAATCTGGTTCAATGTTTCGAATGTCTTTCGTGAAGTTCCCAAGATCCTGACATAGGGAGGGTTGGTTATTCCAAAAGCTTCTTCCGGCAATATTCTCTGAGTGTACAAAAACAGCCTTTCTCCTCAATCTTTTCACAGGATTGCCATTCTCATCATGCTTTACAGTTTCTTCCACCTACATGAGGGTGAGGGTAAATGAAAGTATCTCATATTGGAAATCTACAATAAGTCTGAGGTATATGGCATAAGGAAATTTTATGCTGAACATGAATCAAGATGCAATGACAAGAGAATATCTGAAAAGCTTTTCATTATATGAAGAAGATAACACATATTTTCAGCTAGTTACATCAGTTCTGAAACCTGAACAATAACTAACATCAGGTAGTAATATCTAGTAAGGGTGGTAAAAATTAACATTTAGAAAAACGCCTAAACATACATGTGCCCCAATTATGTTGTTCAATAAACAGATATTACTAACCTAAAGACTCAACTTAAATCGGAAGGTCTAGAATTATACATACATACACAGCACACATCAAAGCAAGTATAAAAGTGCTGTATATATAATTTCTAACAGAATATATAAACTATCACCTTTGCCTTGAAAAGACACGATCCTTGGCGAAAAATTTCAGGAAGCGTTTTGTAGTTGATATCAAATTTCTGAAAGAGAAGCTCATTTTTCTGCTGTTTTTGTGTATCCTGCAGGTAATCAGTGGAAATAGACAAATAGTGTGATCAATTACTAGGCATGTAGAGGACCATTTTGACATCTCCATAAGAACAACATAAAAAGTCACTAACAGCAAACCTTCAGAAACTCTTGTGTTTCACTTATGGTCTTTCCACTTTGAACTAACAGCCAGAAACAAGTGTCATACAGATTATTGACGTGGCCTGCGACCAGAAACGGAAGTTGTTAGAAGCTCCCAAAATACTTCACGGTATCTGCTGGAATGTAAGCTATTGTGAATATGTGTCGAGTACAATATTTATAATGTGAGAATGTCTTACAGTCCTGTTGTCTCCACGCAAGATAAGCTTGAAGAACCTCTGATGATGCACAAGTTACGACTTTTGAAGTGAAGGAAGGAGCATATTCCAAATTTATTTCGGGAAAGAACTCTTTCCATTTTGTTACATAGACTGCAGCAAAGAACGAAGCCACCAACGAAAAAATCTTACTGCATACAGAACAAAAACAAGAAGCTAAAATCTCTGAAGTAAACTTTCTTTTGAATAAAAATATCAATCAAATTTATTTCGAATCAAAAATACTTGGCTCGTCTCTGGTAGAATCTTGATGTCTTCTTGAATACAAAGCTACAGAAGACATGGGAAACAGTTAGAAGCATGCAATGTAATATATTCACGTATGAGTAAAAGTGTAAAAATCATAAGACAAAATGATTCAACCAAGTGAGTTTTTTTTTTGTCACCTGTATTCGTCACTGTATCCATATGCAAAGACAATGTCAGGAAACTCTTCCAAAACCGCAGCTGAACAGGAATTCATCAGATCGAGAGCTGCTTCATGATTAGGCTTCTCAAACTCATGAACTTGAGCAAATCTGTAGTTATTAAGAAGGCGAAAACGGTGTAAAAAGAAGCAAACAAATAAACAGTGTCAAAATAGGTCTAAAGAATACATCTTTCATCATTGTTCAAGTTCCAGGAACAATGTGGAAACACTTCATAATGAAAAATTGCAATCACTGCTCCAAAATCCATCAAAGACGCCGCCTTTTACTCATTCAAATATTCCAGAGAGACTAGCTTTCATTTGTTGTAAGAGTAACCTATCAGAGTCGAATACCTTTCCTATGCACAAGCTACAAACCATCACCACTGACATTTTATATACGACACTGATAAAATTTCATATCAACTGTAGCATATATGTAGATATATGTAGTCTAGCTCCTATCGTACCCAATTTAATGAATAAGAAGGAGAAATCTACCTGGAAAAATCACGACCATCGATTCGAACAACCATCAAGTTAGGAAGCATGACTTCGTCCTCCAATTCGAATGACTTGACATACTCGTACTTGCTATTCGCCATTGACCAAACTATTCCCACGGAGTGCAATCGAACCGGTTACAAAACCGAAAGCTTGAAACTTTGAAACCTTCTTCGCCGCCTCCGATTCGAGTAACAGAGCTTCAGTCACACTAGTTGGAGCCGTTCGCGTCGACTTATAATTTTGCGAAGCGGTATCGGAATTTTTAATTGTTTTTTTTTTTTTTTATCATCACAAGTTTAGTTGAAGTTTTTATTTATATACGCTCTTAGGTGAAAAAAGTGAAAACACAGAAATTTCGAAGATACACTTGGTCAATTACAATGCCTCGTTGCCTCTCTTCCCATTGACCATTAGCATATTACATATGTTTTATTAACAGAGACGGACATCTACAAATGTTCGAGTGAGTTTGTGTGTGTGTGTCTGTTTATGGACCTGTCTTAACTCTCATAGTTTACACTGTAACAAAACCCGTCTTAATAGATCAGTACATAAAGATGTATCCCAGACTTACACGGGACACTGTAACAGAGTCAGTTTCTAGGAGACTAGGACTACTCGCACGAAGTTGTAAAGAGATGAGGCTGTAGAAGAATCAGAGCGCAAGAAATAAGTTTTTATGTCAAAAAGTCAGGAATCGATTACTTGGATATGATTCAGACTCGTATTTGCATTCTCTCAACCAAGTTTGTCACAACATTCACTCGCAAAACATTCACCTAAGTATCCCCTAAGACACACAGCTTTAGGAAACCGTGCACACAGGCATAAAAGATGAATATCTGCAAGTTCTTTAAGCAACCAGACACCTTACACTATTTGCACCTTTGACTTCTCTCCTCAAATTTTAGGTATCAAAGAACAGATTTCTATGGCCTAACTAAACTTTTGCGTGTCTATCTGACTTGGCCATGGCATGTGGCCAAGTGGTTGTTTCCTTGCTTTGTTAAGAGATCGCTTCATTATCCGGCTAAACTCCATTCAGCAATAGACAGACGACTACAAGCTCAAGAACAATGTGGAAGAGTGTAACGCTAAGCCTGAAAATAAAGCAGCACCAACAAGGGTATGAGACAGGTTTCGAATGAAAACATGGTAATATAAACTGCGTTTTGCACTTATGATATCTTCCTCTCCAAGGGGGAAAAAAAGAGTTGAGTATCTAAAAATTACATTATTATATGCTAAGTTCTTGTGACCTACTATTATGGCCAAACCTAACTGTGGCAAATCAAAGAGAATTCTAAGCAGTTCACTTAAAATGATATACAGAAATCTAAGTACGTTACCTTTTAACTTTTGGATGACTTAGCGCAACAAATTATTCCTGGAAACACCAACGGCTTGGTTTAGCTTGTATTTTCTTCTTTTACTATACTTTTCAGTTTACCATCATTCCGTGGATTTTTTCTCTTTGCTTGAATCTGATGCACAAATGCAGCAACTATGACATGCAGCTTCGGGGGAGGCTTGGTTGTTGAAGAGACATTGTGACCAGCATCCTTTAAAGCTTTAGCAACAAGCTTTTGAGCTTTCTGATAGTGCACATTGCACAGTGCAGGAACAGTCGATGCAAGTGTAGGTTTTCCACAAAGTAATGGTCCTGCTGGAGCTCTGAATGTACAACGCAAACAACGCAGAGTTAGAAGAGAACTGCTAAAATAATCTTAACGCGCTCATTACGAATCAGCATACAAAATTTCCTATATACGAAATCTTGGTTTCACAAACTGAATCTGATGTCGATACTGTATCCATCTGAAACCTGGTTAATGTTTGATTACTATCACAGTTGGGCTATTCCAACAAAACTACATTTTTAAAGAGTTTTCCTTTCGTTGTTCAGTTGGAACTCACTTTCAAAGATGACCTAGCTATGCTAAAACTCATAATCCTACCTCTTTTGCAAAGACACATCAAAAGAGAAACTCCAAGCATAACCGGAATAACGCAGTACACACCGATCAAGGTTAAGAAAATAAGGCAAGTACCGAATCTATGAATCACTATCTCGGTCCAAAGCTAACAACTTTCTTTACCAATCCCTTTGGAAAACTTGAAACAGAGCTAAGTGTCAATCCCAAATCTGCTAGCTCGTAAACGAAGCAGTTTCTACTTAGTGAATTAGTACTTCACTGTAGTTTCATTTCATCGTCACTACAACATCTTAACCCAGCTAAAAGATGTAAATAGCATAAATTAAACTACCTATAGTTTTCAAATGCACAACCTAACATGACGATTTGACGATTTCTGCAAACTTATAAAACCTGAAAAAAGAGAAATTGAAACATACCGTTTGATGACGTTTGTGCAACCAGTGTAGAGCTTCTGCTTGCTATCCTTGAGAATATGCAGCTGGCAGTATTTCGTGAGCGCCATGGCTTTGGCTTTGCATCCATACATACAGCTCCCACAATTGCTGTTTGCATACTGATCACTCTTAACGCCATTAGCTCCATCGTTATTATTAGTACCGTTGTCTCCGCTACCTTCAACGGCGTCGCCGTCTATAATTTCTCCCTCTGGACCCAACCGCCGTCTCTTATTCGGCTGATTCTGTTCGTCCTTGAAAGGACTAACGCCGTATCTCCAGTAGTACTCCCTGTGCTGCGCCTTGAGATCCTCCATTAAAGCCCAGTAATGGTCCTTGTAGCATTTGGCGAGCTCCTTGAGGTTGTGCGATCGGCGTCGGAGAAGCTCAGGGTGAGTGAGGTGAGTGGAGCGTGCGAGGACCTGATCCTCCTGCGACATCGTAATCGGCGAATTCGACGTCGACGGTGAGACGTTTGAGCTAGGGTTAGGGATTGGGTTCCGAATTTGGGGTTCTGCTGAGGTGGAGGCCACGGCGGTGGGAGATGGAGCTACGGAAGATGGAGGCCTTGGGGGTTTCGAAGAGAAAGGGTTTTGCAGAGGGTTTTTGGAAGCTGACGCCATTGTCGTCGCCGGAGAATGACAGAGAGTCAAAATGAAAGATTTGCTTGTGAAATAAAATCAAAAATGAAAATCTTCCACCATTTATTTCTTGAATTTTGTTTTGTTTTATTCGTTTGTGGGGAAAGGCCCATTTAATTGAGAAAAGAAAGAGAAAGGGCCCATTAAAAGCCCAGTGTCCCAAACGAAGGTCTTTGACCTAGGTATAAATGCTAATATTGTGTGATAGTGATAACGAAGAAGCGTTTTCCCCATTCTCTTGAGATTACTGCTGCCTTGCTTCTCGAATTTAGGGTTTGAGTGATCGGCAGATTCACACAACCACAACATGGCGGCTCAGATTAGCAAGAAGAGAAAGGTGAATTGTGATTTTCATTTTTCTGTCAAATGGATTTCACTCATTTGCATCGAATTTGAACTGATTCCTGTAACTGTGTTTGAGATTTGTAGTTTGTAGCGGACGGAGTGTTCTACGCTGAATTGAATGAGGTTCTCACTAGGGAGCTCGCAGAGGATGGTTACTCTGGTGTTGAGGTTAGGGTTACTCCAATGAGGACTGAGATTATCATCAGAGCTACACGTACCCAAAATGTTCTCGGTATGTTGTTGAATCTATTATCTTCATTTGGGATTTGAAAGTAAGAGACTTTGATATGATGTCTTATAAAAATGATATTTGGTAATTCGTTGGAAATTATAGGTGAGAAAGGGAGGAGAATCAGGGAATTGACATCACTTGTGCAGAAGAGATTTAGATTCCCACAGGACAGTGTTGAGCTTTACGCTGAGAAGGTGGCCACCAGAGGTCTCTGTGCCATTGCTCAGGCTGAGTCTCTCCGTTACAAGCTTCTCGGTGGTCTCGCCGTTCGTAGGTACCAAATCTATCTTCTTTATAATTTGTTTGATCTGCTAATAGCTGCATTGACCTGATACAATGAATATGCTTGCTTGTTGCTCATAGAAGCATACACTTAAGAATTTTGTCTTCCAGTGTTTAACTTTAGCAATGAGAATATTTGTCTTCTATCTTGCTTTCATGGACACTGTTTAATTTGGTAATGCGTTTATCTGCTGAACCTTCTGATTAGTGCATATGGGTTTGAGCTAGGTGTTGGCTGTTTACCGAGTGTACTGACCATTGGCTTTGATGCTCTCATTTCCCAATCAAAGTAGTATGTTAATATTGCAAAGATGCTATGTTGTGTAGGGCTTGCTATGGTGTCTTGAGGTTTGTCATGGAGAGTGGAGCTAAGGGATGTGAGGTCATTGTGAGTGGAAAGCTCCGTGCAGCACGTGCCAAGTCAATGAAATTCAAGGATGGTTACATGGTTTCCTCTGGTCAACCAACCAAGGATTACATCGACGCTGCAGTCAGACACGTTTTGCTTAGACAGGTTTGTTTCTTCTTCTTTCGGCTTCCTTAGCCCTCCTTACTAAGTGAGAGCCGGCAAATGTCTAACTTGTGTTGAGACTACTGGTTAAAACAGGGTGTGCTCGGAATTAAGGTGAAGATCATGCTCGACTGGGATCCCACGGGCAAGAACGGACCAAAGACGCCATTGCCAGATGTTGTCATCATCCATGCTCCCAAGGAAGAAGAATTCTACTCTGCACCTCCTCAGGTTGCTGCTCCGGTTGCTCTTATGCCGGAAGATCCTCTCACAAACGTAGATTACCCTGAGATGATCCCAGTCGCTTAAAACAACCTTTTTACTACTAGTACTCTATGGGATGCTTCTCTTTTTTGTTTCAACCTTTCTGCTCCTTTTGATACTCCTAGTCGTTTCTCTTATATCCTCGAAGCAGACAAAGTTTTATCTCATGTTGTTTCTAAACTTATGTCAAGTTTTTTGGAGGTTGAATGCAAATTCCATGATTTTCCCGGCTTAATAACACATAAAGAATCACCAGTGTGTATATTAGCTTTAAATCTTCCTTAACATCTAAGTTTTAGTCTTGGAATCTGAGCTTTGAATCATCCGATACTCCTACAGTCCTACATTTAAACCATCCGTCTCTTCCTTTTTGTGGAAATGAAACACATTATCTTCAATTTGGGATTACTTTCTTTCATTTGTTCCCCGCATGTCGCAAGAAAACAATG